GGGCGGAGTGGGGGAGCCAACAAAATGAATCTGTATACCCGAAAGTTGGGGCAAAGTGTTTTGGGCCTGGTTTTGTGGAGGCTTGGCCAGGACTTTGAGGTCAAGACAAGTCAATTATGCCGCAGGCGTGACCGTGCGTACATCAATTTAATTATAGCTACTCAACTGGCTTTCCATCGAGTATCTATACCATTGAGCTTTTCAGGCTAACTTAAGCGGTTAAAGATTGGTTGGTCTATCTAACTCTGCCGGTATTTAACCATGACTGACTACAGGGGGCAAAGATTCCATTGATTCCCTTAACAAGAGAATGCCAATTTCAACGCTTAATTAGGCAAAAACTAAAGCTAGTTCCATGCCTTCTAGAAATAAGCTGTAAAGCCTTTAAGCGGCTCCCAGACAGACAATGGCCAAAACAACACAACTATTTATGTCTGCCCAGGTATTCGCCATTCAGGGTAATTTCCCTAATGCGATTTGGGCCCAGAACGAACCGAAACGGAACGTAACTCAAACTCTAACTAGAACTCGTCTCAACTGTAGTCTCCTCGCACAGATGGCCATAATTAACACACGTTGTCAGTCAGTTGGGCGAAAAGGAAAAACCCTGGGATCTGGGAGATGAGTGCCAGACAGACGGGGCAAACGAAAAAGTTTTCGTGGGGAGAAACTCTCTATTCCAGCGTCTTGGCCAACCAAAAATACACACATGACAATAATAATTATTGTCTTGATTATGCTCCCGTGCATGTTTTACTTGGCCAAGTTTGCCATTTAGCCAAATTGCCAGACATTTGTCTTCCTCTTGGTCTCCTGGTCTGGGTATATTCTTGCTTATATCAAATTTATCTCTGGCACTTTTGTGCTCCATCTTCACCTTGAACGAGACGGTGTCTAGAGCTCGATGCTTAAGAGCTTTTCATTTAGCTTAATTAACTTATAACAATTTTTATGCCGGTTTATTGTCTTAATTAATAACCCCCAGCCATAAATCTTCAGAGGGATTAAGGTTTAGTGACATTCTGGTTGCTGCTTTAAAGTATAAGTTACTAGGAAGTGTGGGAAATGAAATAATTTATATTTCCCTTATAAGCCATCTTTAAGGAAAACCTACTTCGTATATATTTGTTAATCTAATCTAGAACATTTTTCATTTAATTCCTTTGATTTATAGCCAGCTAATCAAAGGACTCAATCAGGCCAAAAGAAATGCGTCTCGAATACAACTAATTTATTTAAAATGCTCATTCATGTCATGCCGAATTCTTGGCCATTCATCAAAAGTCAAATGCGGGAGGAGGAGGAGTGAAAGGACATGGGTCAGTCGGCGTCAGTGTCCTTTGTGCTGGTTTGCGACTTGACCTGAACCCCGAAGACGACAGCCATACCCATTGCCCATCTTATCCGTCTTCGTCGGACCACCGAAGCTGCGCAATTAATATTGAAAAGCTCAAGGACCCCCTGCGGCACCAGCATCAACATAAGGATCAGGATAAGGGTAACGAATGGATGAATGAATGGCCATCCAAAATCAAGATGATGATGGAGCTGGTGAAAGCGAGCGTGTGACAAATGTCCTGCTGCCTGTCCGAAAAAGATTTTCCAAATTCTAACAAAACATCTTGGTTTGGGTTGGTGTGTTGCCGGTTGGGGGGTAATTAATTGAACTCCTTGCAGATAGTTTCTTTGATGTTTAATGGAGTTATTGGATGGTGAAAGTATTTGGGAAAGAAAGTAGTCAATATTTAGCTGTTTGATCTTCATATTGAATAATATTGAAGAAATTCTTTAAAAAGATATTTTTATCACTAGTAAATTAGTGAAATTAATTTTTGAAAATAATTTCAGATCAATGACTTTCCATCTCTTCCAGTTTTCCCCTTCTCAAGACATTATATCCCCCAAGCTAATTGAACTTTTCAGGCGAGTTTAATAAGCGTTGAGCTGTGAAAATTTGTCAGTCAGTCGTCGGTCGGTTGGTCCATGGAGGCTTAGTCATTATGTGGGCGTGGCATGACTGGGCAAATACTTTGGGCCCGTTGCCAGAGCTATATGCTTAATGAGCTATAAGTATCTGAAAACTGTCGAGGCATTTGCATGATGATGTGGCAATCTCTGGCTTGTTGTATATACTATATATCTGGCTGCCGCTAAGTATGCAACAAAGTTTTTTGACAAACGACGACGACTGTCGGACGGGGGCGTCTCTGGCAATTAATTGTCCAACTTGATGAGACAGCATCGAGTAGCGTGCAGGCGATCTCCATGAGTGGCCCACTGAGAAATGGGATTCATGCCCGTCACGGCCATCACATTACGTCTCATTAACGTTTTGAATGCATCGCGGAAATCATTCATTTCCACCCGAAAACGAAAATGAACACAATTTTGGTTGAACTTTGGTAAGCTCTCAAAGTGATTTTTCAGCTAACAAAAAAGAGCCGATGACATCGCAGACTATCCAAAAAACACAAAAAACAAAAAAACAGAGTGGAAAAGTCAACCCTCGGAAAAACAGGAACAAAAAAGTCAGGAGGAGAAAATGTTTTTCAATTGAATTGATTTTGAATGCGCTCTGTCTGACTTGTGTCTGTGTTTGGTCCATTGAAAAGTGCGTACTTTAGTACAACCAAATACAGCCCAACCCACACCCATTACACTTTAAGAAAAACTAAATTTTTTTTAAAAAAGCTTTTTCCCTTAAACTTGTCTTGCCTTCTTGATTGACTTTACAAAATCAAACAAAGCTCTTCTTTAATTCATTTTCTTTATCTTTTTTTCTCACTGTAACCTCCCCCAATTCTGTCTGGCCACGCCCACCACCCCCTTGGGATAAAGTCCGGACCCACTCTGCCTCTTCCACACCCCACCAGCATCCACTCATCTGCTCAGCATCAATGCATTGATTGACTTTTGCGTTGACATTTGCGCTGGGTTATCACTTCTTTGGGGGATTCCCCAGCTGGTGCCCATCCCCTGTTGGCCCGTTGTATGCCCCACAATAAACGCATTATGTTGCCATTAGTTGAGTGCCAGAAGAGCCTTCCGCTTGTTTGCCAGCTTCCGTTGTTGTCCTCCGTCTGTCGTGCTTTTTGTGTTCGCTTGTTTATTTGTTTATTTGTTTGTTTGTTTGTCCGTTTCCCATTCACCTAACAATAAAAAATTTCAACTCAATGGGGGGTTTTCAAACTGAGGGGGAAATTGAAAAGTTTTCATGCCTCTGGAATTGTTAATTTAGTTAAACAGTTCTCAAGTTGCTCATCGAGTTAAAGGTGATTTACATTCAGGTTGATTGAATGGGAAGTACTTCTCTTTTTTTTACTAATTAAATTAGAAGTGGATTTATAATATATTTTATTGGATATATTAATATGTACTTCTAATTCGTAACTATCAAGTTTTCCATTTAAAATGATAACCAAAAACAATAACACTTTTAGCTAACTTTCCAAACCAAGCTTCCCCATCATGACTTATTACCTTTAAAAATTCCCTTGAGCTCAACATAAGCCATTTCAATTATCTAAACGCTCGAACAAAAATGGCTTCACTGCTCATTTAAAGTTGCGATTAATATGTAAACAATCATGGGCAATTGCTGGCAGGAGCCTTTCCTTACCCAATCCATTCCCCTGTGCTGTCAGCATAAAAATAACACATAATCATTTTATTAGCTCAAGGAGAACGATGCACTGAAGCATGGGAATCGTTATCCCGGTCCATCCTGTTGCTATATCGTCGTTTCAGTGGAATCAACTCAACAGAGCGAGTCCGTTGTTGTCCTCTGCTTTGCTTCTCCCTGGGTTAACATGTTGCATTAGGGTTTGGGCCATGGCTCCAATCATGAGCCATGTGTGTGTGTGTGTGGGAGTTTTCCCAGTCAGTGGAAGTTTTCTCGTTAGTGAAACTAATTATCCGTTGTCGCTGTCAGCAAATTTATCGTTAAACGTTAGGTGACAAGTTGAAGCCGAACGCATCTGTTGCCCAAACCCAAAGTCCCATCTGTCTATGTGAATCCTAGCTGGAGAGAGTCCTTCGAGAGGATGCCGGGCTGACTGGCTGAAATGCCTTGCCTTGAGCACAAATTAAACAATGACTTTTTGTATTGCTACATGAGCTATTAAATGATAATACTCTTAACATTTATTATACATGATTATGGATTTGTTAACTTGGATAAATAATCTGTATAAGTCTAAAAGGATATTTAATATCCATTTGAATACTTTCTCTTTTTCCTTTCTCCTTTGGCTGATTAAATTACCATTAAATGATGGCTTCTTTTTTCCCCATTAAAAAACCGCAACTCACAAATGTTGTTCCGCTTTTTCTCCACTCACTTGCCGTCCGGAATTTCATGCACCGGAAATGGTTGTCGATTTGCAACAAATGGCCACCGGATGTTGCCACATGGCGCACGTGGAAGGTTCGAGGGGCAAAAAATTACGGGATTTTTGTAACTCTAACCCCTTTGGGCCATTAATTGCCTAGCACGTAATTATTTTGTAGTTAAAATGGGCGCGGTCGTACATACAAACACACAAAAACACCCACACTGATGCATTGAGAGTCATGCATAATTTGGGTCCTGGAGTTTGCAGCTAATTAAAAGCGCGTTCCCGACTGAAATTAGTCGCGCTATAAAAAGGGTGAGCTGGAAATTGGTGGGAAAATTAGGAACGGGAAAATGATGACAGTCACAGGTGGCAAGTTGTGACTTTTCAATTAGCTGAGCTGGAGGAAAAGCTGATTCTGTGGGTTTGGTTTTTGTGGCAATTGTGTTGCCTACTTTTGGGATGTCCAAATTAATCCATTTTCTAGAGAGTCTTTTTATCTTTTTTTAATTTGGCAAATATCTGAAAATGGCACTAAGATCTCTTAAACTCCGATAACAGAAACATACTTACTCAAACTCTTTCAATCATTTCCCATTCTCCCCATTGATTCTTTGCCCAACACAAAGTAAAGAGAACCCCCAAAACAGTAAACAAAGGCCTTCGTTTTTGTTGGTTTTAATTTCATAATTATGGCATTTTTTTTTTTTGCTTTTGTAATTGCTACATTGTAAATACGTATTCAATATCAATAATTACAATTACGCATAGACACACACTTAATTTCCATCATTTTGGGTGCGATAAACAACATGCTAAATGAACTGATTTTCTGCTGAAATATCTCAAACGAGATTTCGGCACAAATCGATGGATATATAGTATCTATAAATATAATTGCCTGCGTTTTCAAGACAGTTCATCAGTGCGAACCTAAGAGGATTTTCTTGTTTTTCTTGGCTCTAAATTGAAGGATTCTTTTTCATATATGCCTTGGTGGTATTTACTATTACTAAATGGTTTTATATAAGTGTGTATGCATGTTTATGAAGGTATTTAAACAACAACTAATTAATGAGGGATTGGTTTTTGGGGGAGGGGCTGCTATAATTATTACAATTTAAATTACTATATGCACAATTTATTCACTTGTCCGTTGTAACTTTTTATGTTTTATGTTTAAATATTATTCGTTATGTCTACTCATTTGTGTTCACATTTGCATAATTAGATTGAATAATTCATTTGATATTTATAGAGATATATATATATATATATGTACGTAAGTATAATTAACTACAGCTAGTGCATTACAATATGTACACTTACTGGATAAACATTCATGGTTATTGAATCGATATCTGTCTGGACACTAAAGCCTAATTACTAACCCCTTAAGTAACAAATACAAATGCTGCCCCATCGATCTATCTAAATTGGGTTAACATACTTGTCTAAAGCTAACGCAGCGTTTTGTCCATCATCCATCGCCTGCATACTTGGAGGAACTTATCATACTTTATTTTCGTTTTGAATTTACAGTGATCCTTTGCTATAGCTAAACTTAGCCTAAAGTGTAACGAAAGCAGTTTCTTAGTCAGAGAGATTTAGCGCGAGTTAGAGATAGATAGAGTAGGAGAAATGGAGAAAGTGGGTAATAATGTCTATCACTAGCATAGGGCCGATAGCTCTAAAGTTCAGAGAGCTCGGCTTTTCTTCATATATAGAAACGAAACCTTGTAATACTAATCAAAATTAAAATAAATCCTCACACGATTCTCGCACTCTGTCAGTCTCAGTCTTGGTCACTCTTCAAATTGTGACAAATGCAGCAAGGGAACAAGCAAAACTAAACATAGTGATTAATAGAAGTTAAGAAAGTATATAGTAATTATCCAAAATCTCAAAAGGCAAGTTACTTTTCTTGATGTTTAAAATATTAACGAAAACGCTTCACTTTAACCTGTTCATTTCACTCGTTCCTTTGTCGCTCCTTCCTAGCTTTAAAACCCCATCCTTTCGCATACCCTTTCCTTAAGCTTCCTTCCCTCTCCAATATACCCTTTTTCCAATCTACTCAAAGTTTTCCGCGCCGCCGTTGTTGAAGCGTTCGCACCAGGCTAGTAACTCCCGCACTTCCCGAGCATAAAGTTGCTCCTGGGACTGCAAATCACTTTGCGACTGCGATTGGGATTTGGATTGAGATTGGCCCAAGGATGAACCAGTGGGCAAGGGTCAGACATTGTGGCCAGCTGGCTGACTGCTAGTGCCACTACCTGAGTTGCTCAAAAGGCTCCTTTCACTGGCCACACTTCCTGGAGCATAGATCAACTCATTCGGTTCCTTGTTGGCATCCTGGCCATTCTTTCGACTGCCACGTGTGCTCTGATTTCGCCAGGATTGCAAATGCCCGTCGACCGGATGTTGTGGCACCAAGGGAATCAGTTGCTGTTGCTGCTGTGGAGGCTGTTGTTCATCTACCTTAACATACAGACGCTCCATATCATCCAGATCTCCATCCGCCGTATGGTACAGAGCATGCTCATCCTCGTGCGACATCAACATGGCCATTGGAGAAGGAGAGCCACCGCAACCAGAGTCCGCCAGACCATTATAGCACATCGAAGAACCATCTAAGTCCAAGAGGTTCTGCTGATTCTTGCCCTGATCCGTGTTCAGTACTTTAAAGCGGGCACTATCCCTACCAATACTGCAATTTGGTGGCAACTGCTGTCGCCTTACACTGGCAAATTGCGAGGTTATCGGCGAGGATTGCTTGGCGCCAGGAGCTGCCTCATAAGTGTGGCAGTTACTTAACTTATTCTCGGTGATGTGGATATGTCTCTGCTTGTCCTTAGGGTAATAATACTGTTCGGAATAAACGGAGCGTGGTGGACCAGTGTTTGTCGGATAAATCTCGCTGGTGGTGGACATTTGCTGATAGATGTTGCTGGGGGGCAATTGCTGGTGTTGCTGGTGTGCCTGATGTTGCTGGTGGGCCTGTTGCTGCTGCTGCTGCTGCTGTTATGTTGCTGTTGTTGCTGGTAATGCGGATGCATGGGACGCTGAAGGCCATAACCGGGAACTGGTCGCTGTTGATAACGAGGTTGCTGCTGCTGCTGCTGCTGGTGGGGACTCAAAATCGAAGAGGTGGCATATGGGGCTGGGGAGGCATTACCATGCCGCCCATATTCGCTCGGTGCCTTGCCAAAACTGGACACTTCGGCATAGTCGGTGGGTATATTGGAGTACTCGCCCACGTACCTGCAAATGGACAGATAAAAACAAACAGAGTTGAAACAAAAAACGAAAAACTCTCGGTTATTACTTGGCTTGTTTATTACAATATTCCTCTGACCCACTGGCTCTATGGCTCTATGGGTCTCTGTGTGTGCTCCCGTTCGCCCACTTTGGTTATAAATTTGTGCAATTTATGGCACGGCGGAAATTTGCATTTTCCCCAGTCAGAACTAACCGACTGCTGCGGCTGCTGCGTGCTTGTTCAAGCGGGAAATATGTGAATTTAGTTGGGATTTCCCATGCATTTATTATGGAAAACACACACATTCCCCGACCAAGATCAGGTGGCAAAATAGTGCTAGAGACGTTTATCCTTACATCCATTAAATAAATTACCAGCTTAAAACAAAGGTGAAAATGTTGGACCACCCGAAAAGCAGGTCCCAATTTTCACCCTGCCGCCAGACGACCAACCCCCCTTCTTTTTCATTCTCACATTTTTAGCATTATTTTCGTATTTAAATACTGAAAAGCGGATTAACCTGGCGGGGGCCATCGCGAGCCCAGCTCAAGCCCCGAAAAAAAAACGATTTTAAAACTCTGAAAAGCTTGTAAAAAATATATGGCGCATTGATGGAGTTGCCATGGCGAAGGGGATAAAGCTCGGCCACTCCACATAGAAGGCTTTTAATGCCCTTAATGAGTGGCGCCGTGGAATGAAAGTTGGTCCTGTACATGGAATAGTAATGAGCTTGTCAAATGTCTGGCTCAGCGGGGCAAAAAAACATTTTAATAACTTTAAACGAATTAATTATCATAAGGCAGGCGGCTATTTGGCTCTCTCTTTTGACCAAATAGTTTTTCTTTCTCGCATTTTCCCCAAAGAGTATTTTTCTGTATTGGCCAGCACATAAAGGATTTTCCTCAATACATATGACTCTCATTATTGTGTGATTACTTTTATTGTTATGGTTATTATTTTTGTTGCAATTATTATTAATATTTGTGTTAAATTGCACACTCCCAAGGCCCACCAGACTCATTTTCAATTTGCGTTTTAATGACTAATTAAGTGTGCAAAAATAATTATAATTATCTGGGCAGCACATTTATTTACAGTAGTCGCTTGGAAAAACAACAGCAGACAGGGAAATGTTTAAATTAAATTTGCTTTTCTGGATGTTTTGTTTCTTTATTTTTAGTGTGACTCTTTGGCTTTTGATGGCTGATTGGCATTTAATTGCCATTCATTGGACAGCAAATGGGCTGTGTTTTTTCATATTTTTTTCTTGGCAATACTTAATCGATTATGTTTTTAGTATTCTTGAAATTATTCTCAATTAAATGGTAATTTTTAAAGTTCCTTAAATCTCTTATATTTAAATCCCTTCCATTGACCTCTCGAAATAATTATTTTGTTTAATTTGCGGGCCATATAAAATCAGCCGCAAATAAATAACAATTACAATTCAATGCCAGCAACACTTTCAAACCGAAACAATATTTTCACTGCCCCATTTGGTTATTTTCCTGCATTTGCCAACGGCCAGACAAATAAATTAGATAGCCATTGGCCAAAAAGCTAGCCAGCTACATGGACTCAACTTTGATTTGCCATCTACCACAAAACTAATTGCAAATTCGCCGCCAAATTATGCATAGCATATTTTATTCGAAGTCCACTTTAAAGTCGCATTAAAGCCGACCCTTAGAGGCCTCAATAATTACATTGGTCTCGTTTTTTGTTCGGCGAAAACTCAACTGGGCTTTGGCGAAAAATCAACATAAATAGCGTGGCCAACATTTCTATTCCTAACTTGATTTTCCCTATGGCCCAGGGGAGAATGAAAGAAAAACTCTACCAAAAAGTGAGCTTTTTTCGTTGTGTTTTCCCTTTTTTTTTGTGAATGCTCCTTTTTTTTTTGGTAGTCGCCGCGGCAGAAAAATGCAATTTCACAGTTTGGTGAATTTTTATTGTCGTCGCTTTGAGCTGCCAGGTCGACGGAGCACTCTTTTAAGAGGTGTTTCGGACTGGATTTAAGGTTAGTAAAGGTCTTAAGGATTCGGGAGTTATATAGAGGCTTTAGACTGTGAGGTTTAGAGGATCTAATCTGTTAGGAAATGGACACTAGCTTTAGGCCAAGAACGAGGTTTTCCAGTATCTTTGAATGAGAGTTATCTGCAGTTAGTTTTTAACCATATCTTTAAGCCCCTTCTAACTTCATTCATATAAAATCTTGTTAAAGAGCATCTCCAACTGTTTACTATCTTTTACAATTCCCGCCCTTATCTGTCCCTCTTTATTGTTGGATTGTTTTTTTCGGGATAAAAACTTACCGCTGCTGATTGCGTTCGGTGCCGTGTCCTCCATGAATGTCATCACCGCCGCTGGCACCACTGCCCGCACCACCAGAGCCACCGGAACCGGCACCACCGCCGGCCGGAGAGCCAGGGGCACCACAAACTGGTGCATAGTCGGCTATATGATCCTTTTGCATCTCCAACGAATCGCTGCCGGGTGAGGGACGCCAAACCATTCCGCCGGTAGAGGAGTCCAGCCAGTAGCCATTCCCATTGCGAGTCGATAGACTCGGCATTTTGAGCACGTCGTTTGTGTGATTGCCTGCAGGTGAGGAGGAGTGTGGAGTTGTAGAAGGAGGGGTTTAACAATGGGTAGAGACAGTCAGTCAGAGCAATTAAATGTGGTGCAACAAATTGTGAGCCGAATAAATTGCTTTCCGGAAATTAAACAAAAACATACAAAAGAGCCTGCCTAGACGATTGGATGTTCCAGCAAAGGATTTCGATGGGATTACAAAAGGAGAGTAAACTTTGAAAAGATCTTTGCAAAACAACTTCCTATACTAATAATTGAAATTTTTCAAAAAAAAATCTCCTTTAAAATCTTGAATAATATTTATTTTTATTGCGATTTATAATTCTGGAACAGCTAAGCCGTCCACGGCTATAAATTGAAGGCATTAAAACAATATTATCCCCCATCCAGTCATGTCTCGGCTGAACATTTAACTCAGACTGCCAGCTACAAAATCAAATAAATTATTGTCAATTTTCCACTTGCATTGCCCCGCTGCTCACAAAAGCAACAACACAGCAACAACAACAACAACGGGTGCTGCATAAAAAATGCAACCAATTAAACTGTCCCCGGGTTATAACTGAGCATCAAGCGAGTGTTTTATAGCCCGCCACCTCCCGTCTACTGTTCTCTCATATTTTTGTCTTTTTTTCTGTTTTTTTTGGTCCCGTTTTGTTGCAGGTGAATATTCTGATCTCCTCCTCTCTAGCTTAGTTTATGGTAAATGGCGCCCATGAATATGCAACTCTTTTTTTTTCGCTCCCTACTGCTCTTTTTCAGAGCATTTTGGCTTTGGCTTGTCTACGCTATTGTTGAGTGCTGAGTTTTGACAGCGAAATGCATTGCATTCATTGTCAGATTTAAAGATTAAAGTTCGTCTTTTAATATAAAATCTACTCTGTTTCACCTTTTAAAGCTTAAAGTGCCCAAAAATCTGGCTGAGTTCCCAGGACCCTCTTGACAACCATTTAGCGTAACAGTCTGGGCCAAAATGCCTAATTCCCCAGTCAACAGGCCACTACCAACATCCCCTCCCACCCTCACCTCGTAATGCTGCTAATTTCAATTAGACCGCAAGAACTGCCTCCCAACCCTTACTTTCCCATATCCATAGGATATATATATATATATATATCTCGCTTCTTCCTGTTGGTCGGCTGACCAGCACACACACACACAACTTGTTGGTTAATAATGCACACAAAACTAAATGCATAATTGCAATGGCAGCCATTAGGGGGTTGAGTCGAGGAATTCCGGAATCCAAATAGGGGAACGAGCCAAGGGTCTCAGTGGTCTAGTGAACTAGGGGAAGTTGGCCGTCACGTGCAAAATGTTAATTTCTATTATGTGTAGCATGTGAGTGTGTCGATGTGGTGCCTTGGTGCTCGCTTGGCTCTCCTCTGGTCACGGCCTGCTAAAATATTTATTCGCACCTATTTTGGTTTTTTATTTCAGCTTCGCTCTCCCTGCTCTAGTTGTTGTTATTGTGTCCAACAATGGAAAATTAGCGTTATTTATATATGCAAATGTGTGTGTGTGTATGTAAGTGTGTGTCTGGTGGCGTGTCTGGCGAGGAAGGAAGCGAAAACTAGCAGCTAGCAACGGATGCAGGGCTTGATGGCCAGAGTCGGATGTTCACTGGCGCCCTCTATTACTGGAGGGCATGCATATGTATATTGGAATAATAGAGAATTTACACCAAAAAAAACTTAATTTTTAAAGTAAGTATATATAAAACTCTTCAAAAACAAAGAAGAAAACTTAACTTTCTTGAAAAGCAACTTTTCGCCACACATTTTTGGCGCCCAACGCGGGACATATCTCCTAAGCCCCATGCTGAGCACTATAAAACACAATTTCTTTCAATGTACTTACCACGCATGGTATTTAGGGCCGACTGCTTCATCATCATATGCTTGCGCTTCACAAAGACCATTGCTCCGAAGGACAGCATGAGAATGGCCAGGATGGCGCCCAGGAGTATTATGAACCAGGGCTTTGTCAGCACATCGTTAACATGGTCCTGATTGATGGGATAGCTGAAGCGAAAAACCAAAATTATAAATAGAAATTATCCAATCCACAGTTGAAATCACAAAAAAAAGACAACTCGTAAAGGACTCTCTTAACTTACCGCTGATTGATGAACGGATCGAGTCGCTTGGTGATGGGATCCAAACGCAAAGTGGCTGGGACACAGTAAGGACCGATTCCGGCATTATTTCCAGCTGCCACGCCCACGGTGTACATAACGCCTTCGGTTAGATTGGCCAAGACCAAAGTAGGCGATGCAGCATCGATGGTGACATTTGTCAGAATTCTTGAGAAATTGTGGGCAGTGTCAATGCCTCGGACTATGACATGATAGTTCAAGAGAATGCCTGAGAAAATGTCATAAAATGTATAAATTAATAAAACTATATTCAGGAGACTGAACTTTGTAGCCTACCATGACGATCCTTGAGTTCCGGTGCCTTCCATTTGAGGAACACTGCTGAGGAGTTAAGCAGGAGAGCCTCCATTCCATATGGTGCCTCATTGGGAACTGGAAAGGAAAACGAATTTGAATTTGAGCTTGGGTTAGAGATTGAGGAGCAAAGTTAAATGGCTTTTTGATTGTGGTGCGTGATGTCACCCAGCTGACGTTCGCTCTAATGAGATTTGGTGGCCGTAATTAATTAGCATTTGGTATGTGTGTGTGTGTGTGGGTTCCCAGGGGACAGGAAGTGCCTGCTGCAAATAGTTCCGGGTGTTGGCCTCAAGGGTTTCCCGACCATTGCACTGCTCAGACACATCCTTCTGCCCTGCCCTGTCCTTTCCTGCCCTGCACATCGAGTGCGTACAGAAAAAGGAAACAAAAAAAAAAGCAGCAAATGAATCCTTTCCTTTCTTTCTCTTAGTTGCAGCTCACTTCACATCTACACAGGCAGCTCATCTTCATTTGTTTATTTATTTCCTGCTGTCGCTTTTTACAAGTGGCTACACTGAGCGAAATGTAGTTAACAGTAGGATAAAGGAACTCAATCTTAACAGTTACTGTTTTATTTTCCTTTCAAGAAAGAAGGGACATTTAAAAAGTAATTTGTTAAATACATTTAACTGATTTTTCCGCTAAGTAATCAACTTTTTGGAGATTCGGAAACTAAACATTTCCCCAAGTGCAACCCTCAACCTCCCACAAACCCTTTCCCTTCACAGTTTTATATCTTTTTGTGTGTGCGGCTGAGTGAAGCAATTTCTTTAAATAAACACACACGTGCAAAATTCTCAACGAGACAAAAGTGGGAGACCGGGAAAACAAAGCCGTAGAAAGAGTGAAATCTCTAAATAGGCAACGTCTAAGGGAGTGTGAAGTGGAGTGCAGTTGTTCTTCTGTATTTCTGTTTCTTTTCTTCTTTTTTCTTTTGGCTTTGTTACCACCTTGCAACTCGCTGAATTTACCCCTTTCCTTTGGGGACATTGCGACATGCTAAAGTGCTTGTCGTGCTTTTGTCTATGCGGGCGCTTTTCTTTTTCTTCCTGGTGTGTGTGTGTGTGTGTGTGCTTTCTGCTTTTTCGCCTTTTCCTTCCGCTGATGAGGCACCGCGATGCTTAACACGTATCTGCCATTGTGTGGCATAAATGACCCCCGGGCACACACGAGATTCGACAATTGTCGTCTCAGACAGACACACTGCCAGGCAGGCAAAGCAATTGAAAAACTCCAAATTGGCAAGCTGATCACTGCTGCAACCGAAGACAGCTTATCTAAATGTTGCACTCGTGGTTTTATTCGATAGTCTGTGCGAAAAAATATGACTCATTGGGGTTTTCGGGGGTTAATTTTATGGCTAGCAGTGATGTGACTCAGATTGGGTTGCATGTGACTGATGGTTAAAGTGACCACTCCTTAACTCTGATATTCGGTGTCTAACATAACAAACGAACACTTCTTGAGGGGACAACATACAAGATAAATGGGTAATTGAAATGAATTTATGGGGAAAGCATGCTTAAAGCAGGGAAAGTATAAAGGAAAGCAAAATCAGCAAGCCCTAAGTTCTACTTTTTCAAAGCTATATTAATATTGTAAAATTTTCCCTTATAGAGCATTCCCTAGCCCTCAAAATTCCAGTCTAAACTTCAAATTTAACCTCCTTTTGCTACCCTCTAGCATTTACCAAGCGGAGCACACCTTTATTTGCCAACTTCCGACGTGGTTAAAAATGTTTCCTGTCGCCGGGAGAAAGGAGTCCGTACCCGCCCTTTCGCCTCGCTTAAGCAAACGCGCATCAAATTTGCATTGCCAGCAGTGCACATTTTTGTGGCCCAGGCTGAGTACGCTGAGTCCTGGGCACTGAGTGCTTCATATAGCAGCAATAATTGTTGTTTATCTTTACACAATTGCGTTGGCAATTTCTTTGAGTTGAGCTCAGAATGCTGTTGTGGCTGGAGTCAGGCGAGACGACGCTCAAGTGAAAATATGATGCATGCGAAATGAGTTTTGATTTGATGACAGCAGGGGGTGGCAGAAAGGGTTAAGCAGGCAGGATCTCAACTGAAGAGAGACAGAGAGATTTGACTTTGCTTCGCGACGTTTGTGCATTTTATATTTGCTGCGGTTGCTGGGACTTAGTCCTTGCCGTTTGTTGACTTATTTGCGGCACTGTTAGAGGTCTCTCCCAGTGTCTGTCTCCTTTGCCTGGCTTTTGTTTTTTAATTATTTTCTTTTTAATTCTATCCCACTTTTCCAGATCCTTTGCTCATTGGGAATTGTTCACTTTTCGTTGCATTTTCGGTTGCTGCTGGCAGTTCTTTTTTATCCCAGCAGCTTAACTGGTGATGGAATGAAGTGATAAACCTGTCTGGAAAGTTTCCACTCCTTTTTTCCCGTTGAGTTTGCATTTTTCTTGGCCAACAAGTTTTCAGCGTTTGAAAACAATCTTATCTGACATATTCCCCCGGCTGTCAATGATATTTTTGGATAACCTGGATCCCCCTGGATCAACGGCAGACAATCCTTTAACCACTCCTTTGGTTTTAGTTCATGTAAATCGCCAGCATCAAGTATTCTGCACACACAAACCGCATTTGATTTGAGCAACTCTTTTTGATTCCCCCAACTGGAAATGTTACTCCTCCACCCACCACCTCGAGCAATTGTTTTCCACGTGGATTTGACATCCCTACCTTGCCTGGTTGGGTGCACGCTTCTAACATTGTTTGGCATTTACGTACGCATGATTTGCTTTTTGTCGGTGCTCAGTGATTGACATACTTTCCATTATACGCCCTATAACATGGCCTTCGATACGTAAAAAATAATGTAACCTAACCAATAAACCTACCGAACTGCCTACGCCCTTTTTTTCGGGTTGGCTGTTCGTCGAGCCTGGTAAAAATAATTTGCGATTATGAGGCCCGCATTGAGAGCAGCTGATGTCCGTCTAGGATAAAGGATACCGCCCTGCTCAGCCGTTTTCCTTTTACCGCTCATATCCTTTTATTGAATTTGGGTTATTGTTGCAATGCAAAAAGTGCCCTGTAACCCGCCTTCTGCATTTGTCACATGAGGCTCAACCTTTTTGTTGGGGGTTGGGGGTTGCTTTGGCTTACAGTCATGGGGGTTGGTTTCTTGTAAAGGTATTTATACGGTTTGTTGGATTGCGCTGGATTTGATGCATATGCTTCATTAGATCCGACGGGAGAGAGTCTCAGATATACAATCGATGGCAAATCCTGACTGACAGTATGGAAAAACTAGACAAAAAATCGGGTAAGGAAATGCAATTTCCTAAATCCAACTGCAAAGATAGCAATCGATAGATAGGAAAGGTTTCTGGGAAGTAAGTTTTCATTACATTTATATATCGATAGAAACGATAAACTTTTTTTGAAATAAATCTTAAAAAATAATTAAACAGTTTTTGAATAAAGACATTAAAACATTTCCTTCAAATTTTTCAATAATTTTCATCTCATAAACTAAAATTTCTTCCCATTTCCAACCATCTTAACACACTGTACCGGCTTTCACATTCTAATATCCCATATCAAAGGAGCTAATAGTATTTCAAAGAACCCCTCTGTTTTTTGTATCCCTTAAAAGTTGTTCAACTCACCATCTTCAAGGGTGCGGGCGATGCGCGAATTCGACGGCTTGCCCTCGACGGATTTGTAAAATGGCACGATGAAAAATTCATACAGCGTGTACTGGACGAGACCGGTGATGGTGCAGGATGAGGCGCCACCGCCATTCAGAATCGTCAGCATACGATACTTGGTACTCAACGGGGTTGGGTTTCCATTTCCACCGCTTCCATTCTGGTTTCTGGTCGTCGTCTCCCCATCACGTTTGCCGGCAGCGGCAATATTTGGTTTTGTCGAAATCAATGCGGATGCCGAAGCGGATGCGGAGCCCAACAGAGGATTGGTATTGGCCGTAACCGGCGCCGGATTGTTGACTATTGGATTTGGCAACTGTCTAGCATAGACATAGAAACCCTCGACGTATTTGCCATTGATGATCTGCATGAGTAAGGAAAGGAAGGCAAAACGAGATGAGGTGACGATGAGTTAATGGGATGAGGAGTTGAAAAAGAGAGAGAGAGATTACATACCTGCCAGGTGAGCTTCATGCTGGTGGAGTCCACCACACTGGCATTGCTCAGTTCCACAACATCGCCGGACAGCAGACTGGCACGAGCCTCGCTTAGATCCAGACCACTATTGAAGTATCGCTGGGGAATATATGAAACCAAAATTAAGAATTAATGATTGAAAAACAAAGATAAACGTATTGTTTTTTACGGAAACTTACCGTTCCCACCGTAATCGGTTCTGACATTGGACTGGGCAATGATAAGCCATGAGAGTTCTCCGCACGAATTAGAAAGAAGTAATTCACACCCGGCAGCAGTCCGGTCTGGGTAAACGTTGTATTTTGCACTCTGGTGCCCACTGCCACCCAGCCATCCGTTTCGTTTTTGCCAAACATCTCGATTACATAACCCACCAGACTGGAGCCACCCACTTTGTTGCTTCTCGTCCAACTGAGAGTCACTGAATTCTCACCCTTCTCCACCATTTGGGGTTTACCCGGCGGCCCCGGATAGGTTGAAAGTTCGGCAGCTCTAAAGAACTTGATATTCGGATTTGTCGGAGTGTCCAAACGTAGGTATCCACTCCATGAGGATTTTCCATTACGATTGCTGGCCACACAGGTGTATAAGCCCTCGTCCTCGTGACGCTGAAGATCCGAGATGGTTAAAGCCCCAGCATCCGACAGATTTCGTCGTTCATGTTCCTGTACATCGATGGGTATACCATCCAGATACCAAGAGACCTGCGGCACTGGTGTACCCAGAGTTCGGCAAGGCAGAACCACAATTGATTTCACGGGCAGCGTTTGATTCACCGGACCCTGTTCGATAATCGGCGGTGGTAATTCGAATTGCGTATCCACACTGACCACAGTTCGGCTACTGACACTGCCCACGGCATTCAGGGCATTGCAAGTTACCACCTTGCCGGAATCCTCGCGGGCAAAACGTGCTATCGAAAGTACAGAGCGGCCCTCGGGCGTGAGGGTCACTTCCATGCGACCATCTCGGTAGCCGGGCAGTAAAAGGGAGCTATTGCCCTCCACTGACCAATAGAGGGTTGGCCGAGGATGCCCATTCGCTTGGCACTCGAAGAGCACTTCATCACCGATCTCCACCAACTGATTCTTGGGGCGTATCACAAATTTGGGGGGTGCTGAAATGGCGAGGAAGGAGTTAGTGCACTGAGAAAAAGTCTATAAAATGCTTTGGGTTTCTAGGTTTTAGGAATGTGAGAATATAAAAATAGCAGCCAACGTTTTTTCCAAGTCCACTCCTTGGCGGCATTGGCCGCTACTTTCAGGCAATTAACTTACCGTGAACGGTGAGGATGCCCGTGGCCGTGATGCCGCCCACCGCATTGTCCGCCTCGCAACTGTACTCGCCCATGTCCTCCAGCGTGACGTCGTCCAGCTTCAGACTGCGGTCCTCAAGTACGTGCACACGACCTGTCGAAAGAATGGTGAAAATCGGGGAAATGAATCTCATGTGTGTGTGTGTATGGGTGGGTGGAAATGTAGATGGGTTGGAATTGAGTCCAGCCCCAAGAACCATTCGAAAGAAAAACAAACTTTCTGGCTGTCTGTCTCTGCGTCTACTTCGTTAGTAGTTCAAGTGGCGGAAAAATGGCCAAGCCGTAGCCAGAGAGCCAAATAACCGCAGCAAAGTAAGCCAAGACAAGATACGACATAGACAACTACTCCTACCATGCCATGCCCTTCCAGGAGATGAGTTTGGAGGAGAGAGCACCTTTTTGTGGTTTTTCTCATACAATAAACAAAAAGAAAAGACAAAGGGGAGGCTGACGCTGCTTTCTTTTTGGTTGGTTGACTGCGAAATAGGTTTTAAATGTGGGTGCTCTTCTACTGGCTGCTCACCTGCCCTGCTCATCTCTCCTGTCCCTGGCCACTGTGCCAATTGTTTGCTTAACAAAAGTTTAGGACAACAACCGAGACCGAGGCCGAGACAGTCAGAGTGCAGCTTCTGTTTGGGTCCCCTCTCCTGAGTCTAACATCTTTTCTGCTACTATTTTCTTTGAGGTCTTTAAAGAAGCGTAAACTAGCTGGAGAAAATTGCCGGACTGTTAGTTAGAGATGGGGTTGGGGATGGATATCTCCCCTCAATGAGGGTTTAGTTGCACTGCCCTTCGGGTTGGCAACTGACTCCGTCTGAAGGACAACATTGCAACAGTCGAGTGTTGTGCAAGCAAAATTGTTGATTGCTGCCAACAGAGATTGGCAATTAACGGAATTAAAAGTTACAGTTGTGTTTGCTTAGCTAGGGAGAAAAAAGGGGCGTGGTTGTTGGGAGTAAAGAGGGTGGCTACCCTGACTGGGCCAAAAAAAAAACCACACCACCCAAACCGTGAAACCAAACTAACAACAACAAACGGAATTAAAGGGGGCAGGAGGAGGGAGTAGTGTTGTTATGGAGGTGTTTTCTACACTGAAAAAATATTATTTCGAAAATATTTTATAAAATTTTAAAACGTTTTTTCAATGACCAAAGGAAATATGTTTTGTTTTCTAGGATTTCTAACAACATTTTTCGTAGATAAAGTCTTTTTACGGAGAAAAGATCAAGTTTCTGATGATAAAGGTTGATTATATCCACTATTCAAGGACTCCAAAACTAAGAATCTTTAAGTTTATTACTTCTTATGTCATATAAAAGTCTAATCAATAAAATATCTCCCAGTGCAGTCCGTAAACACAGCCAATTGGCAACACGAAAAGCCACAGGCCAAAGCAACCGCATAAACTAACTTTTTGTTTTGTTTTCTATTTTTTTTTTGTGTTTTTTTTGCCACACTGTGTGTGTGTAACGAACCCTCGACTCTACTTGAGTCATGGGTAAACAAAAAAGCTTTAATTTCATTTGAAATTGCGGCCTGTGCATGTGTGAATAACTGCCCCAGTAAGAGAGCTAGGAGCCACGAGCCACGAGCCACTACCAACTAGCCACTAACACTAACACTCAGCAACATGGCTGCCCGGGCATTTCCGGTTAATTGAAGCTGAATGAAGCCAAAGGAAACTTACGCAGTGGCATATTGCCGCCGGAGGCAGTACGTCGCCACAGGACATCGGGCAGGGGATCGCCACCAATGCGACACTGAAACACCACCGAGCTGCCCACCACAGCCGTCTGATTCTGGGGTCCACGGATGAGAAAAGGACGAACTGCAAAAGTAAAGAAAATATTTAGATATAGTTAAGGTAAAGATAATCTAGAAAGCGGAAATTAAAAGCAGAGAAACTAAGAAATATGAAAAGATTTTTTAATTGATATATTTTTTGCTTGACAGATTACAAATTCCCTTTCAAGATAAGCTAAGTGCTTGTGAGAAGTTTCAACTTTTTATAAAATTATATAGAAAAACTCACCATGAACTTTGAGAAAAGCTGTGGCCGATTCTCGGATGCCAACTACGTTCTTGACCACACACTGATATCGACCATCGTCCGATTGGCGGGCTTCCTGGATTGCCAGATTGCCGCCATCGACAATGCGTATCCGCTTGTTACCGGCGAGATTCAGGGTCTGGCCATTCTTGCGCCACGAGATTTGCGGCTCTGGAGATCCTCGCGGGGCACCGCATTCCATCAGGGCCACTTCGCCTTGGGCCACACGGGTATTTGCCGGCTCCAAACGGAATTCGTCGCGTAGAACTGCCGGTGGTGGGAGGGATTGAATGTAGAGAAGAAAATACCAGTGAGAATGAGAGTAAGAGGAAAATGGCCTGGGGTAAGAGCTTTGATTGATTCAATATTAATAACTGTCAGGTGTACAGGCTACGTTCACTTTGCCCAGCTACAGCTAAAGTCCTCCATATTTTATAAGCCAGACCCAATCCTGCTGCTGCTGCTACTGCTGGTTCTACCTCAATATGCCAATAAAAGCTTGGTAATGATGCCCGGGCAGCAGGTTTACGGCTTTGAACGGACACAACTCTCTCTCTCTCCCACTCTCTCTTACTTTGGCTTGGAAAAACAGCCAACGGAAATATTAATAAGCTTTGGCATTTGCAATGCTTATTTTTATTTATTCGCCCGCCACTCGCATCTTCTTTGCTTGCATTTTTATTGAGCGAAAATGCAAAATGGTTGGAGTATACAAAATGTAAAATGCGAAATGCGAAATGCAGAATGCAGAATGCAAAATGCACTTCAATAAACGCATAATGCGCTCCACTGAACGCCAAAGGCACTGAAATAAAAACACACCAGGGATGGCTTCTCTTTGCCAACATAAGTAGGATAACCGATAGCTTCATGGCCAGCAAAATGGTCAAGTTTTTATGGCTTTAAGTTGGGTGGAAATTGGAATCCTTTATGGTTTACCGGATTAATTAATCTCATTTCCTTCAGCCAGCTGAAATCTGTAAAGCTCTCATGAACTGGCTATCGATTACAAGGCAAGAAGATGTTTGTAATTTCTCTCTTTTATTATTTTATTTTATTAATTAGAAATCAAAAGCTTGGCTAGGGGAGAGTTGAAATGCAGCTGCCTGCTTTTGGGGGAAAATTTCATGAAATGCAACCCTCCAATTAGCTGAAACTGTTGCCTGGCTCTAAAGCCCAATCAATCATTGTCGTTTTTAGAGGAATCATTTATCTGCTTTTGATATGGTTTTCAAATTTAAAACTGAATTATATTTGCTATGCCCCAAAGGAAGTTGTCAGAAAATTGTCTGAAATAACTATCATAGTTAAAAAATATTGAAAAACTACAAAAACCAGCAGTTGTTATCCACAAACTATAGAAATTTCATTTTAACAACTGACATGTTATTATGCCTGACTAAACGCTGTTTAAATATTCAACCAATTAGTGTTACCAAAAGCAAAACATATTTACTTACATGCCACTTGCAATGTTGCATTCCTGGAACGCGCCACACCAAACTCGTTTTTGGCCTCGCACCAATAAGTGCCCGCATCGCTCTCTCGTCGTGAGTGGATGACCTGCAGGGTAGCAATTGGGGTTAAAGAAGAGAGATTATTAGATACTTGGGTTTAAGAGATTTAAGTAGTTTTTGGGGGCCGGGTCACGTGTCAGATCAAAAAGTCTCAAAATCGCTCAACCGAAATCAAATAAAAGTGAAACGTGCCGTGTCCCTATATACCATACTGTTGTCCACTCTGCGTATACGCAATTTAATTTAATTAAAAAATACATTCAAGGCCAAGGGTTTAGCATCCACCCTGTTGGGCCTTAATCACTTGGCCACTTCACTTTTAATTGGCAACATTGGGCTTGACTTACCCCCCAAAAAAAAAGATGCACAAATTGTTATGGACAATAATAAAAATAAATTGCTGAACTTGAGACCTCTGCCTGGAGGTTAAACTTGAAAATTTGTGTGGAATTATTTTGAGAGTCTCTCCCCGCCTGTTTTTTTAGTATTTAAAATTTACAAAATTTTAACACAAATTCAAGGCTCACTGAGGCATTAATAATTTTGCGGAAAAACAATAACAAAGTGAGTGAATAATTTGTTGCATTTAATGAAAATAACAGGGAGAAAGGAGGAAAAAAAAACGAGTAGGAATTTAATATAAACAGAGTCCGAGGAAATTGCAATGTCTGATGATGGGAGACACAGACAGACAGGCAGACGACACCCTTTCGTTGCTTAGAGTTTGGGGACTTTCGAGGAGTCTCGTTAGCTGAAATTGCGCAATGTGCACGCACGAAATGATATAGGGGTTGCTTGGGGGCGGGGTGCTAACCCCCAAACGAGATCTTTTGTTTGTTCATCAGGTTGTTTTCCCTATCAACTAGAATGCAACCAGACGGAAGCCCATAAAATAATATAAGCAGTCTTCGAAAAAAAAAAAAACAGAAGAAACATTGCTTCTGCACAAATGTTGCGTTTCACATGAAGGATTGAAGGAGTCGAAGAAGAACACCGCCTGGGAAACCAAATAAAGGTATACCACACGCCCCCTCTACCATCTCCCTCCCATCAACATCAACCATCGACAGCTGTAAAACCCATAATGATAGACCCGATTCGAAATGAGTTGATTGGTTATGATGATGTGTACCTTGAGAAAGAATAAAGCACCGGCGGGCAACATTATGCGATGCGAACCCGTATCCGTCTTCAGTTCGCGTCCGTCCTTAAACCATTGAATGGTTGGCTTGGGATTGCCCTCGGCCTGGCAATTAAACGTAAATGGATCATTTTTTGGCACCGTCGTGTCCATGGGATGCTCCGTGATGCGTGGATTTTCACCTGGAATGAAAAAAAAAAAAAAAAAACGTTTATTAATATTATTCCTTTTGTCTGAGAGCGAGTGTGTAAGGTGTAACCCAACACTCAGCAGGCCACTTGAGTGCGTGTTGTATTTCATTTTAACAGAAATAAAGGATCTTCCTTATCCACATGTAAGAGATCATCTCTGGGGATTTCCCTTTAGACTGGAAAACCAAAATTCATCTTTGACGGCTAAACAAGTTTTGTCACTTAATGCAGCGGCAATTAAGAGGCCATTAAGCAGACTGTCTAAGGGGACCGACCCCCTTGGTAGGGAAATCCAGTCAGAAATTATGTTAAGCAGCAACGAAATTTCACTTGAGGCGGCGGCGGCAGGTCTCTTCTACTCCTCTCAAATTCAATTAAGTTCATGAAAATATTTGCCCGCCCACGGCTTGCGCGTACAAAGGACCCCCCCACCTAACAACAACAGCGACTAAACATAAATTTGTGCATGTCGATAAGGATGAAACAAAGGACAACGCTAGATAAACTTTATTAAAACCAGCAGAAAGCAACGATAGAGACAGGCGAAAGCAGTTGGAACTGAGAACCAACGGAACAGCTGAAATGTAATTACAAAAAGCGCTTAAAGGTGAAAAATGTGTATGTTTGGCAAACGGCTGGCTGGGAGAAGCGATGTAAATCTCTGGACAGAGGTGGAATGCCTTTGGTTAGTAACATCATTCAGCCGGAAATTAAGTTTTCCAGATTTATTGAAAGCGGATAGTAATGAGAGCTTCCAGCGTTGTTGGAGAGGTGCGGTGAAAAAGCAGAGCAAACGGGAATAGAGTTGGCCTCGTATCACTGTTTGGAAATTGGGAATAAATCACGGGATGTAGAGGGTAAGGTCAGGGACTCTGAAAGGGGAAATTGTTAAGAAAACATTTTTATAATATTTTCTTTCACCTTTTCCCCTGTATAAAATGTGAACTCTCTTTCCAACCCATCTCTAATTTCATTAAGAGCTCTTCAAGTAACAAGATCTACTCGCAATTCGACACCCGAGGCGTGACCTTTGAACCCTTGGAACTCCAATGCCAATATGCAAATCGAATCGCATCGTGACACTGTTATCACTATGAGAAATCACCGAATCAGCATCCAGTGATTTCTATTTCAACCCAACAGCAGCAGCAGCAGCAGCAGATGAACGATGACATTTGTCAAATGTGTTTCAGGCAAAAAACAGTAGAAAGAGGTAGAAAGAGGCGGCTTCAGAGGGGGGGTTTAAGGGAAAGAGGGGCACTGCTACTGCACCTTGGACATTTGTCAATTGCTGTTGTACTTGGCTTTTGATGTTGCTGCCGTTGTTGCTGTGATTGCCACCCGGACAGCAGCCTTTTGTTGTATTTTACTGCAAAGCCAGCAGGATAAAGGGGGGTAGTGAGCTTTGAGCCATTGTCTGATTTTTTGGCCATGTCCAAAAGGCATTGTGCTTGGGCCTTTTGTTTGCCTGATCCCGTGTTGTCATGGCAACATTCTTGTGTGCTAATTTAAATGATGAAATATTCTCGAAATAGTTCTGTCAAGCCAACAATGAAATGAAGCTTTCTGCATACTTTTTTTGGGTCTTTACTTTTTTTTCTACCTTGCAACACCTGCTAGAACTTTCGTTGCCGGCAAACAAAATATTTAATTAAGCAAAAAACTGCTGCTGGTGAATAAATATTTCAGCATTTTTTGTGTTATTCCAACCAAAAGCAAACGAAACCACACAGAAAAGCAAAAGGCAAAAGGCAAAAAGCAAATGGGAGAAGGACGACTTCGATAAGCTAGCCAAAAGAAAAAAGGCAAAAAAAATAAAATCCAGGTAAATTGTGTAAACTTTTCAGCAAGAATTTTCCACACGCACAGTCTCTGCGGCAGTTGTTAAATAAAGAGTTGAAGTTTTTCATAATAATATGTAAAAATGCAAAAAGCTGAGAGAGGAAATGCCAGCAGAAAAACTTTGACAGCACTGTGGAAAATTGAGAAAGTGGGAAATGCACTAAGAAATTAGTTATCTTTAAGGATATAGAAAGGAAAATATAAAGGATTTATCTGAGATCTGCATTTGTTTTACTCCTAAACCGATTTTAAACTTTATCAAACATGAAAAAGCATGCTTTAAGCAGGCTAAACATGCTTTTATTTTGTAATTCTTTGGTTAAACTTAAATATTTAAATATATATTTAATATTTAATATTAAAAATTATAAATTTTTATTCCGTGTATTCTTTTCTCTTGCCATATCCCAACTTGCACCACACAATTACCCATTTTTCCCCAGCACTTAATTACGCTCATTTGGCATATATGCTCTTCATTTGTTGTGCATTTCTGTGTGTATGTGGGTGAAAGTATATGCAGATGTGTGTGTGTTAATGTGTGTGGGTGGTTCATGAAAATTTATGCATGCATACACGGAAAGCAAAGAACTCCGAAGAGAAATGTAAAAGAAGTTTTGAGTAAATAAACAGCAACAGGAACACAGAGGCAAAAAGTGCTGCCGGCGATGAAATCATGCAAGCATGCACCTAAGCAAACAATCGCGTTCACATTTGTGTGGGGGGCCAGAAAGAGATAGAGAGAAGGAACAAAGAAAGAGATAGAGATAGGAGGAGGAGGGGGGTTCTCTCTGCAGAACTCATAATGCGCCACTAACGTGTTGGGGAGTTTTGCGGGTTGCAACAGCAGCAGCAGCAAACACCAACAATAATAACAGGAAATGCATTTCGTATAGTCGCTGTTAAGAAATCTGCTGGGCTGCTGTCTGTTATCTTAGCTTATGTTGTTGTTGTTGTTCTCCCCGTTGTTGTTATTGTTTGCTGCCGTTTTTGTCTGTTTGTCCAATATAAGCATAAAAGAAATTGTGTAGCCCAGGAGCAACCTGAGAACATTAAGTGAGTATCACTCGACTGAGATTTTCTTAGTACCATAGCACTTGGTTTGGCAAGATTGGTCTGATGAAAAGTTATGAAATTTGTTAAGCAAATAGATAATGTCTTAAGAAGTCTCCATACCAAAAATCCTGATAATATCTTTTAAAACTGCTGATGAATTATCAACTTTCTAAGGTTAAGTACTAAAATTTGTGGTACAAATCGGTATATGGAAAGTTTATGAGCTTTGAAATAAGCTTACCAAAAGTTAAGTTAACTCCTAGTTTCCCTCAAAACAACATACCCCAAATCTAGGGTAACAAACAACACAAGAAGCATTCACAACTGCAACTACAACTTGAGCTGCCGTTTGATGCTGTTGCATTTCTGCTAATTTGCTGTTTGCCCCGTTGTTTGACTTTGGGCCAGTAGGTGCTAAAAGAGACTCCAGACTACGGGGAGTTCTCAAGCATCTTATGCCAATATGCAGCATTATTAGCATGTCAACAACACATACTCATATACCCACGATGACAACAAAAATCACAACTTTCCCAAAACTGACGACGGCAACATTAAACGTGTTTACAAGCAGCTGCGTCAAAATGCATATGCAAATAAGTTGGCCATCTCCTCCTACTCCTCTTCCTCCTTATCCTCACCCACAAGACAGACTTGTAATCAAACAACGAATAGCCGCAGCAATTTAAGGGTGCCGAGGTGGCCAGCAAACAGGTGAAGTTGTTAAGAGCAACCTGCCGGAAAACCATCATACAAGCTACATATGTTCAGGTAATTGAAGATGCACATGCATAATATTGTAAATGCTGGGCATTTGTTGTACTTTAAGTTAAAGAGCTTTGTAAGTAAGTCTGCTTTTGACAATAGAATGTAATATTATACTTAGCTTATGCCTAAATAACTATCTTTGATCGTTAATGAAAAATATTTAAGTCTTTATTAACTTAAAGAAAAGTTTTAAATCCAACAACAGGACAGCTGTCCCTCAAATTCTTTCTAAAAACTATTAAAAAGTTTTCAGCCTGCTTTATAAATATGCATTTATCAAATATTGTTGCCTAAAAGTCCATTATTGAAATTATTTAATACCCTTAAACTAAACTTTTTAGTCCTTCCCTCGTCAGAAAGTAAAAGTTTATTTTCGCTGTTGGCCTCACAAATCACGGAATGTCAAACTGTGGCAGCTTGAGTACTGCTGCAACCATTTTCCTCTTCTATTTTTTCACCATTTCACAAAAAAAATGGAGGGAAAAGCGACAGGTTGGAAAGTCCTTGATGTGAACTGTGACGTCAGGCGAGGAGGGTCTGTTAAAAAATTAACTAAGCTCTCCAGCCAGTCCTGCTGCTGCCATTTTTATTTATACACCGAAAAAGTCAACTTGATTTAATATATTTTTTATAATATTTAAAAATGTGTTATAAATATTAAGAATTTTCCAGATTTTATTTATAAAAGTTTTTATATTTTTATGATTTTTTAAATTATTTTAGTTTTTGGGAAATATTTTCCTAACACCTTTATTTTTCCCTGTGCTTTTTCTTTCCCCCAATATTGTTTTCGCTTTTCTTATTGTTTTTGCATTGGCTCAACAACAAACTGAACAATAATTTATAAGCTTTTAGTGCAACGCGACTTCTGAGGCAACAACAACAACAACAAAGACCAGGAGCCAAAACAAAGTTTTTGATTTGCCGCCAGCTGATGGAGGTTGTTGCTATTTCAACTTTCCTTCTACCATTTATTTATTTATGCTGAAATGTTTAATTTTTAATGGGCATGCAACAAAACTCGAAACGAGCAGGGGGTGTTTTCCTCTAAAAGCTTGAGGAGTTCGTAAGCCTTTTGCCCAACTTTTTGCCACTTAAGCCTTTGTGCAAGTAAATGGCGAATAAGAGTGGGTGTTTCTGTATTTTCGTATATGGGTATTTAAGATTTGTGTTTACTGACTTGTTTTTGTGAAGATTTAAAACGCTTATGATTTGAGACTCACTTTTTAGGCGACAAATTGAAGGGGAAAGTGTCAAGGGAAAGTATGAGGTAAATGGTTCATGTCAAGGATAATTGGAAATTTAAATTTGAAATTTTAAGCAAA